AAATCAAGGTCTCACTTTACCCCCATTTTGGAGAGGATACTCCGAACTATCAGCCCATGAGAAAAAAGCAACACAATCCCATTGAAAAATCTTTGCAGACGGTCTAGTTTTCCAAAGATCTCCTAGAAAACCTGTTTCAGAAAATTCTTCTGAAAATAATGTTGGTTATGAAAACATGCCTCCAAGTCTCCTCTTTCGAATGGCGAAAACCGCAGGTCTCTTTCTTGTTCCTATCAAAAGTTATTCGTAATCAAAGTCGTCCGGTGACTTACTGGACACCCTCTATGTTTAGGAATCAATATAACGAATAGTATTGAAATTTTTGAAACAACATTGTCCAGCAAAAATAACTTCGAAGTTCTCATGATTTTCAGGTTGATGTCCGTTTTGTATTGGCCAGTGCTCGCTTTTACCATTTGTGTGAGTTGGGAACATAAGAGCTAAGGTATACTTGTAGTTCGAGTATCCTGATTCAACATTGTATCTGTTTTGAATAGCAATGGTGACACTTGGATCTCGAAAAAATCTTATCAGACTCTCATAAGTTTCACATTCGGTTTAATGCATTGTTTTCAGTTTCTTTTGTTCATATTATCCAAAGCGATCTCGTACGATTTTCTAGCAAGTTTGTACAGAATTAAACAGCAAATTTAACGAAATAAAGAGCAGAAAAATACAATGGACTACATGCGAGAAAATCAAAAAATAATGAGAGAACAGTTCCTTTCTCTCACAATTACATTGAGATGTTTTTCAGTGTATATTTTAGTAGTGTTGAAAGATGTGTTTTTTACTCGAAGCTAATACATGCTAAAACTTTTGTTGATCATACAATTAGAAAGTGCTTTCGATGCAGATTCTTAATAGGTATTTTCGATTTCTCTTCAACTTGTTTTAGCCAAGGAAAAATAAAGCGACATTTTTGCAAAAACTTTTGCATCATCCGTTATATAATGAGTATCGTTTCATTAAAATAACAAGTATTCTACAGAGTTCTGCTAGCAACAGGCATACAACTATAGTTATGCTGCTACAAAACTTAACTTATCACAAATCACAACATTTTTTTACTTTCCGATATGAGATCGATATGCTAAATGATGTGTTTATTAGATTCATAGATGATTTATCTTGTTTGTATCGACTGCGGTTCTCAAGTTATTTTTCAATTATTTATAGTCAAACATTGCTAATCTTCGATTGTCATCAAGTAAATACAATTAAATTGGTCAATTGTGGATAAATTGTTATATTCTTCAAAGAATTGGAGAAGAGTATAGAATACAAGTTAGTTTCGATCCCAAATGAATTGAAGTTGAGGTTTGGAATGGAGCTGGATGTCATACAATTTTTTTCGCAGAAAATATGAGAAAATCAAGAGGAATTCAGTAAGTTCAACTATAATTTACATTTTTTCTATAGAAATCCAAGCAGAATTCTTGTTCTTAGATGTTTCTTGCGATTCATTTGATAACAAAAAGATCGATTCTTTCTAGGATCATTCGACAAGCCATAGAAAAACATTCTCGTCAACAAAATATCCATATAAAATATTATGATTCTGTCTAAAGTTTTGATAATACTCGTCGTCTGACCGGCAAACATGAAACAACTTCATATAAATCCTTTTCTTCTGGTATAGCACTACAACCCGTTAGTATTCGTATTCCACGTCAAGTCGATGAAGATCAGTATGAATATTACGAAGATAGACGTCCAACTACGAATTATGATCCGTATGTTGTCACAGATATTCTTGTGAAAACTGCTTATTTGGATCATACTGGAGAATGAAAATCAGAGACAGAATGTATAAAGATACTAGAACTGTATCAAAAATAATCCCTTCACGAAAAAGAAATGCACAAATGAATTATCCATTTTGATAATGTTCAAATGACAAAAACAAAGACGAACAAAACTTTTGATATGTATTGAATAATGGAAACTTAAAAAGTTTTCAATGAGATGTTGAATCAAAAAGAAGAAAGCTCTAGAGATAAAGATGAGAAAGCAGATTCTTAAGGGACTCTGTTTACCGAATTTTTCATGGAAATTAATTGTTTGTTATATTCATTAGAGAGATGAAGGACAAAATGATGGTGAGTACTCTCTTTCAAGAGAAGAAAGAGATATTGAGATGAGGAAAGTGATCTTTACCTTCAACAAACACTCTAGTGCAATTGTAGTCAGCATTGATGATTTATCAATTGTTTTAATACTGAACACAGGAATATACTCGACCGGAATATTTAAAATTAATCGATTGTATGGATACAATCGTCTCATAGATGAAGAAAATAAGGAGTTCTTAGGACAAACGAAAGACAGAAGAAAATTTTTCTTGCCATTAAATTACCTGAAATCGTCTTTTGAAAAGGAGATCTATGCAAAATGATAACATTTTCTAAGATATGTAAGATCAAATTTACTTAAATCTGTATGATATATATTGACTTGAGACGAACAACGAATTCAAAGGCATCAATGAGATAAGTGCATGCTGCTTCATAGTTCGAATAGATTCATCTGTGATTTTTTTTCTCAAGGTTACAGAAAAATGAAAATATTTGCAGACTCGAGATTCGTTTAATTCAGTTTGTGTCATATGACTGGCACACAAATATCTAACCCTTTCTTTGCTTAGTTGGATCGTACGAACAAAAAATGACTCGTCGGAAAGAAAAGTTTTCGAGGAAACAATTATATTCATTGTTCGTCTATCCGTCTGCCTTGATTTACATTAGAGAAAATTCTATTTCAATTTCGATAATACACGTTGGACGCTTTGTTTGATTTGAATAACAGGAAGTGTCGCTTTGTAAATTTCGAGAGCGATCTTGTAATGTTTCAATGCTTCATCGGTATAACCAAGACACCGATATACAATTCCAACATTATTATGCGATGCACCCAACTCTGGATCATTACAAGGAAGATGCTTCTCACGAATGACCAATGCATCTTGATAGTAGCCGAGTGCTTCCTTATGTTTTCCTTGCTTTTGATAGACAGCTCCGATGTTATTCAAACACATGGCGACATGTGGATCACTTTCACCATATGCACGTCGGAGTATGATCAGTGCCTTATCATAGAATTCTAAGGCTTGTTTATAATCACTCTGTGCTTGATAAACATTGCCAATAGTATTGTAAGTATTTGCAATGTTTGGATCGTTCGATTTTGAGGATTTTATATCGATATCTAGCGATTGAAACAGTAGTTGGAGACTCGATTCATATTTACCTTTAATTTTGGCTAAACGTCCGAGTTCGTAATAGTATAAAGAAATGTTTTGATTATCGTTGGATGACAGATTAGATAGACCACGACGATAATATGTCTCGGCCGCATTGTATTTACCCATTCGTTGCAGAACACTACCTAATACTATCAGATCCAGTTCGCCTTTGTATGTATGAGACTTCATATGGTCAAGAATTGACTTTCAATCATGGTCCTGATCACCGCATAAAGTTAATCTAACTGTCCACACTCCATTTCAACTGGGGGTGTTCTCCCCAACCCGAAAGATAGAACCTAACATGAATAAAACTTCTTTTTCTTTAGGATAATAGCTGAGTGCAGAAATGTCGGCAAACGGTTTAATAGCAGGAAGTCGAGGATCAGCATTAGGCATGCACCGATTTCGATTAAAATTCGAATAATCGAAATTCGATTATTCGAAATCGAAAATATTCGAACCTTCGATTATTCGAAATCGAAAATATTCGAACCGGTTTTACCGAACCTTAGCGATTTAACGTTCGATATGAATGCATAAGAAAATTTATTAAGAAAAGCCATAGAAGAAATATAAAACCGT